AGCAATATCTAATACGGATTTTAATAGACGCATGCTAAACTTTATCAACGGTATGACAGGGTAGCTCAAATATGTCGACTCGAACAATAGCAAACAATAGTGGATTTGGCATATCTAGAGTGAGCTCAGATGCTGCCAACAAGACATTCAAAAATACGCAAACAAATATTCTAGTATCAAAGTTTACTGACTGAAGCAAATAATAATTGTTCTCAAGACAACGTGCTTTCTACCAGCAAAACTCTAGCATCATTTATTATTGAAAGACAGATGCTGATATCTACACCAGGTGTGTTGCCGATATCTGGCTGAACTCTCACGAGCGATATCAACAGTGGAAACAAAATAATTTGGTCACGCTTACTGCTCACACAGAGGCGACAAATAAAATATATATTCATAATATATTTTTGGGTAGTTTTAGTGTACCAAAACCACTTACTGGCTTGTGGATATTTGGTATCGCTGCGGAATTAAATACAAGTATTGCGATGACATTTCGTTACACGTCAAACATAGGCATATATTGTAACTGATTAGTTTATGGCAATTACTCGCCCATTACATTCAAAACTGCATGTGGTGTGATGTGATTATGATTTTTAACGTAGCTTTAACAATTTTTCAGTCATTTCGCTACGATGTCTGCAGTGTGGCAGTTTTTAGTGATGTCCAGCACTGGGGCATCTCGCTGCAGACATGCAGCATGATATCCCACCCAGTCACATTATCCTGCCACCAGGCCGACCAATCCTAACACTAACATCTTAATTCTGAGCGTCAAGCGAAGTAGCTGTTAGTATCATTTTTGTAAGTCTTTGGTACGACTCGAATGGGGATTGAACTCTCAATCTCCCGTATCCGAGGCGGACACTCTAACCACTAGGCTACAGGAGCGGTTTCAGAACAGCAGTTTATGTGTCTGAACAATCACGAGTTAGATTGTCTAGCATATATATAATCAGGCGCTTTGCTTTTGGGGATATGATCGTTGATAACAAATGTGTGAATAACTGGAGGAAGAAAGCGTCAAATAATGCTGTCACGTGGAAACACCTTTCCGAAGCATATACACTATAGGCTTTGAAGTATATGCGTTTGACATCCTGACATTGTGATTCTGCAACGCCAATGAACCATAATAGTCTCAGTTATTTTCAAATAATAACGATCGATGATTTTTGCAAACAAAATAATGTATATTTGAGGGCGTGCTGTCCAATGCATAATATGACAATATAGGCTCTATGAAAAATTTATACAAAATATTTCGTCGGTATCCTGCTGCGGTTAGAGTGGAAACTTATTTGAAGAATCTTTAATCTATTACTGTTATGAGAGCGAATCACCTACAGAACGAATTTATGAGATAAAGGTGTACGATAAGTTTTAAATGCTTATGCATCTTGGTTTTTGATAATATTAAGGATCATTTTAAAATTTATTAAGAGAGATTAAGATAAAATTATATTCATCTTCTATCTCATAATTTACACAATGTTCATATTTCTCTAGTGCCATTCGTTTCCTACAAGTCTACCAGTCTCGATATTTAATGGGTGACATGAAACCATTAATTTACTTAAATCCTTTCTGTTGATAAAATTAACACTTTTTCTATTCGGTTTCGAACATATATTTTCTTAATAATCTGCTCCTTATGTTAATTTATATTATCTTCTCTCTCTCTCTCTCTCTCTCTCTCTCTCTCTCTCTCTCTCTCTCACACACACACACACACACACACACTCTCTCTCTCTCTCTCTCACACACACAGGTTTGTATTATCATTATTCATTTGTTCTTTAATTTATGCAACAGTGCATATTATATGAATTAGTATTATACTGAGTGTTTTCCGCAGAGGTCAAATCATCAAAATTATATTCTATTCTTATCTATCTTTATACATTAGTGAAGTTTTCGAAGCAACTAATGAAATCCAGTCAAAATGAAATATGTCTTAGTCTTTGATCAAAGTATGATAAAAAGGAACACATATGGACTGAATTAGGGTAATACTAGACTTCTCCAAATTCTTGTGAACCTCACAATAGAGACACGATTCTTTTAATTCTTTCTTTCGTGATCCATAAGCATTACTTCTTATATTTATCGAAGAATATAATTATCTGCGCTTATAAATTTGAACTAGTACTTGATGATACGCAACATATCTGCTTAGATAAAGCGGATATGTCTCCATATTGTTTGCAGAAAGTTTTACATCTAGTAACCACTTGCAATATTTTCTATTCATCTATGCTTTCAAGAATCCTCAAATCTCACAGCAATAAGACACAATTGGAGCTACAAAAGAATGAAATAAATTACACATAATATCCGCTGGACATTTATCGATTAGTATCAATATTAAGTACGTTAATATGCTTTGATCACCTTTCCTTGTGTAGAAATTCATATTTGTACTTAAATGAAACGTCTAGTCTTCTAACTCTTTTGTAAAAAAATCATAACGTTTGTTTTACTTATATTTATCAATATATTCTATCTAAAAGAGTTTACATGTATGTTATCTGACAATGATTGCAGACCATCTATTGTCTCGGAAAATATTACCGTATCATCAGCAAACAATAAAAGATATAAAGATATTTCTTCTAAAATGATATTCACTTTTACATTTGACTGTAATGCAATTTCCAGCTTATTTATATAAAAAAGAACAGAAATGGAGAGAGGCTTTCTCCTAGAAGAGCCTGAGTAAACAATAGTCTAAGTATTTTAAAAAAATTATTGTATTAAACTGTAATTATAATTTGACTGTTAACGTTTTCCTAGTCACTCCGCATTTTACTACTTTTTTTTTGCTACAGACGTAAGGAAGGCACAAAAGGGCATTTTGTTATCATCGAATAGTTTTGAGTCAAACAAATTAATATAAAAATGGCGTATACTGAACTATTTGTCTTAAAACTAAATTGTGTATCATTATAACTATCATATTTTTTAAAAAAAATCCCATAAAGGACAGTCTTTGATTTAATATACTGTTGAAAACTTTATACAGCTAAGAAATATTATACATATATAATTTTATAATTACTTGCATCATATGGATCACCATTTGTTTAAAAATCAGCATACGAGACTTGCGTCGATTTGAAGTATCAAAACCGCCGTGAATATCATATTAAAATGTGCAGCTTGCAGTTGGATAAAAGTGGAAATGACAATCATGATTTCATTAAAAACTGTCAAAACCTCTTGTCTCATTGTTGTTTGATTGTTTAATGGTAATGGAGCATTCAGCTCTGAAAATATCGGTTTGCCTAAATTCCCAGTCTTATTTATATTTTTCTATGGTTAACGTTGACAGGTATTATTTTTTAATATGGCTTAAAATGTCATCAAAATCACAACAATCATTCGAATGATTGCATTAAAATGTTTTGTAATTTTCACAAGATTCCAAACCTCAGGTGGATTTCCTTTTCGTAACTTATGCAACTTTTGTCCTCTTGATCTATTGTAGAGTTAATTTCCGTGTTTGGTAGAAAAATTTGTATTCATTTTTCTTTATTATATAATTCTTTATTGATATAGGTCTACACAGTCCAACCTGGTCATGTAACTGTGTTTAAAAGAAGTACACATGATCGCTAAAGTTCGAAACGTTGGGTTGCTGTCTCCTTTTTGACATCAGTATATAATCTAGTGCCAGCTCAAGAGTTCCACGAATATTAAATAGATTACCTGAACTACTCCATTAAGCACGTGCCTATTATTAATATTTTCATTTTCTTGAAGCTTCTTTCTTTCACAACTAAACTAAAACCTTCAATAAATTTGGTAAAGCTAATGCTTTTATGGAATTAACATTTTTCTTCGTGCATGGTATAACAGTTGTCTGTAAACAGCTCTAAACAAAATTATAGTCGAAGAATTATCACTTTTGTGCCATCTCTGATCATTCAAGCCAAATTTGTATCGTTTGTGTATGTAACCAAATTTAACAAATAAAGTATTATTACATCATGACCCATTATAATTCCAAAACTTATGATTATTAAAATTGTTGATATTTAGAGAGAAGTTTTTTTAAAAAATAAAAACAAAATGTTGCATCTGATGAAAATAAAAAAAGAACATAAATCACAATTTTGTAATTGAACCAGATCATCATTTGTAAATTGATACAATAAAGAGAATATATTATAACTCTAAGCCAAATTGAAGATTATTTTCATTTCATATAACTTAAATATAAAATAGGAAAAATGATATCTATGGAAGCATCCCAATGTTCCATGCCTAACAGGCTTTCTATAAAGTTTAAAAAGTAAAAGAGTCGTTAATTTAGGTAAACATTTTTAAAAGGTATGTAAGTAAAGGCAACAAGTGGCTAAGATACATTTCATTTCATTATTCCACTTTTTACTGAGTTGTTCACTTGCAATTGCATGGGACATTTTTTGTTTCTCATGAAGCTGTATAGCTTAAGAGAATAAAAAAATGAATGAATAATATGATTTGGAACTAGCTGCTAGCTCATTTATTTACTGTCAGCTTTTATAGAGATATGCAGTTTTGAAGGAACTGCCACCATACTCTTGCTCGCCTAGATGTGTTTATAACGACAAACAATTATTCTGACAATTTTTTTCGATTCCTTATTTTCCATTCCGTATCATTGCCTCGGCATGGGAAAATAACCTAAATCTATAATTAATCTGATTACAATGCAGATGTTCTGTTTCTCTGGAAACGCAGTGAAATTAGGCAGTAAAAACTCTATTGAACTATGATGTCCTCAAAGGAAGGCAGGTACAAAACAATTCAAATAATAGCATCACATACATGTAGGCATAACTTTGGGATATTTTGGTAAACATTTAATGATACCACACCTCACCATAAAAAATATATTGATTTTTCCGGTAAGACTTCTCTTTGTGCGTGGTAGGTCTCATGGTAAGTTATTATAAGTTTACGATACCTAAATTATTTTCATCAGTCTTTATCTTTATATCTGCACCGCTCCCGTGACCTAGGGGTTAGAGCGTTCGCCTCAAATGCGGGAGGTCGTGGGTTCGATCTCCGGTCGAGTCCTACCAAAAGACTTACAAAAATGATACTAACAGCTCCTTCGCTTAACGCTCAGCATTAAGAGGTTAGTGTTAGGACTGGTCGGCCTTGTGTCAGGATAATGTTCCTGGGTGGGACAGCATGTCTGCTACATGATTCCCCAGTGCTAGACATCACTATAAACTGTCACACTGCAGACATCGTAGCGATGTGAGTGAAAAATTGTTAAAGCTTCGTTTAAAATCAAAATCACATCGCATTACATTTTTATCTGCAAAAACACATCTAACATTAGTTAAAGAACTCTCCGAGAGACACTGCCAAGTTCCTTTGGTAGCAGTTTTTCGTATTTGGTATCTTTATAATTTCTACGGCCTCAAATTAGTATGAAACTTCAAATCATTACTACATATGTGTGCAGCCTTGTGCCCCTACAGATGTTTATAACAGCAGTTGACCCCTTTCTCCATAATGCTTTCTCGAATTGTAAATACAAGCCGCTCTTGACAATTGAACATCATCAATGAACACTATCATGAATATGGGAAACAAAAGGAAGAAAGTTCAGTCATAACAAGTTCCAGATATTAGAGAGCTAAACTAGATCAGAATGATAATCTTCTTTTTTGGGGTTGTTTTGTTTTATTTTGATTTGGAAAACGAGACTTTTTAGTAAATCTGAACCGAGTTTGGATCGAATTAAGAATGGATTTTAATGCGGATATAACGAAGCATTATCATTTTGTCATGTTTTCATGGCTTATTTTAGAGTCAAACCTTTCCTAACCCACTGTTATACATTTCTTCAGAAACTCCATTAAAGAATGTCTTTATAAACGCGCGTTGCAGCCTCGTGTCGATTTATAGAGCAAAAGGATATTAATGTGTTTTGTTTTGAATCCATTCGTCACAATACGATGTTTCCACTGCAATCGTGAAAAGTTTCTTTACATCAACACCAAATGTATTATATATATATTTTAAGGTAAAAACCTTCGACTTGAATGGATTAGTTTCTCCATTTTGTGTTAATGTGATTAACGGTTATTGTACCACATTGATCAAAATGTAATTCTAAAATGTTTCAATAATTCTTGTGCAAGAACTTTTCGCAAATTAAGATTGTACATAAAATGCTTCAAAGTATGTATTTTATCAGATTATTGAGTGTTTGCATACGAAAATGAAGAGATTTGCAATTTTGTTAATATATTTATTGCGCGGTTTAATGCACCATATATTTTTTCCCACTGTTATATTGCATTATCTCATTACGAATATATACTAAAAGTGAAATATTGCATGGATACAAAACTACCAAAAACTACTTTCAATTATGAGATAAAGATTTGGTTGGGGTTCAAAAAAAAACATCCAAAATTGCTTATGTAAGCGAAAAACACTATGTATGTATGTATGTATGTATGTATGTATGTATGTATGTATGTATGTATGTATGTATGTATGTATGTATGTATGTATGTATGTATGTATGTATGTATGTATGTATGTATGTATGTTGTATGTTTTAATGGCACGTCCGCACAATACTGTTTATATTGTGCTGATTAAAAATCAAACTCTAAAAGATAAAAAATTGATAAAAAAATTACATGAAAGTTTTTTTTCATATGTCTCTAAACCAACAGTATTTTCTCCATGGGCAGGGGTTTACAAGTTGAACAGCTCAGTTATCAACCTTTTAAAGATACATTATATGAAGCAAACTGCAATTAATTGCGAACAATTTCTTAAAAAATAAAAACATGTTATCTTAATGCTGGTAGGTGACTGACAGTCGTCTTCATGGCTTAGAAACGACTGTTTGAAAATGTGCACTGATATTCGCGATAGGTATAAGGACATTTTTTAACTCTAATTTTCACATAATTCGAAAAGTAGAATGATGGTTTTATAAAGAAACTCGTATCTAACTCAGTCGTTGAACTGCAAAATAGATCCTTTAAAGAGCGGAATTAGTTGTAAATATCTCTAAAATCGGACTATATCGGGTCTACATTAATTGAATAGATAGATTGCGGTCAACTGGCAGCACCATAATACTTTGTATAATACACTGTTTGTTGGCAGTAAACTGCCATTCGCTGTAAGCAATATTTGGTAATATAATAAGATATCCTTTCGTACATTACACCACAATTTCTAGTGATCTTCTCTCATAGTTTAATGTCACTTCATATAATAAAATCTTGAGATTGGAATCGTTGTTTCTGGATATTCAACTGAAAGAAATATTCTCTTTTGCAGGAAGCGAAGTTGCAATCTGAATTTAGGTTTTCACTGCCAAACTGAGCAGTATTCCGCAATAGCAGACATGTACAACTGGCTCCGAAGTTCACTCAGTCCTGGCAAATAAAAAAGGAAGGCAGCAGTTAAAGGTATTAGTTTTATCAGTGTTTGTGTAAGAGAAGAAAGATAATTTACAAGTTAAATATACTTCAGGATCCAGTTGGCTTCATATGAAAATATGGTTTGATAGACTGGGCAAACATAATACAGATATATCTACTTAAATACCAGTAGAACTTGACAAATTATTTTCAGATACTAAGTATACGTGTAGAAAAGAAAGCAAATTGGCAATGACATTTAAAAAGATGCAGATATTAAAAAATTTAAACTAACGTAACGTAGTGTTTTGTTAGTATTTGATATAACATATATTATAAGCTAGAATTCAGGCGCAAAGGCTGCATGGTCTCCAAGCAGGATTAGTCAGTGATTTGACGTTGGCCAGACGTCATAATGGGTTTATTTTACTGACTGAGTTTGAGCGTGAGAATGGTTTGGTAACCTTAAGCTTGGAGATCGTGATCTTATGATTGCGCCTGAATCTGAGATCTTTTCATTCAATCGCATGAACCTGTAACTTTGAAAGTCATTTTTGAATGGATGACAGAGGAGACTCCACCTAGAGATTGATATTTTGCTACAACCATTCACAACAAGTCACTTTTGAAATATCACTTATAGGCTGAAACTGAATTAAAAATACACAATCATAACGTTTTATTGTTTCCTGTCAAGGCATAATGTTGAAAGGAAATTGTCTAATATTGTCTTACATTATTATGTTAATAATGCAATAATTGAAATTTTTCTCTTCAGAGTGACGGTTCTCTCACAAATTCGATGTCAGCAACAAAATATATTTTAAACAGCTGAAGTGACGAAAGTTTCAACATATGACAGAGAGCAAAGAAGTGTTCTAAATGAATTCCAATCTTGAATGTGCTGATGTACCAAATTCAGGATGTATCACAATGATATAATTCTGCATGTATTTCAATGAATTTACAATAATCCCAAAATGGTGTTAATCCAGTCAATGAGGACTTTAGTAATTCCAATGAATGATATAAATACTTCCTCTAGAATTATATCAGAACACAAACAGTAAACAACTCCAAAAATTGATCTTAAAATGGGAATTAATATTTTTGTTTACCCTTATATTTTATAAATGCCTAATAAAACAATAAGCTAGCCAGGACGTGGGATCATAAGCTCGCTTCCAGAACATTCATAAGTCATAACGCAATTTCAAAATATTTTAAAATTACCATTATCTCAAAGAACAATCTACTATCATGGACAAATATCCACAATTATAGACAAATTTTATTTACAAATGAGCATTACAACATACAGTCATATATACAAGTTGAATGACAAAATACACTTTTAAAGGAGGTAGACGTCATAAAATTCTTGTATAACGAATCTACACTTTTCCATTTTTGTTTGGCCAGTTACTTTGGAGGATGCTGCATTATACAAGTAGTGCTAGAGATAGCGCACAATGTAGATAAATATATCAATTGCTTTCATTGTTGTTTACCATGGACCCAATATGACTCATCAAGAGCCATATACTCCCATTTTTCAATTTCGTTTCCGTCATTTCAAATGTAAGTTGAACGGAAACAATAGTCTGAAAATTGAATAAATTTATATTCTGTAAATATGCTGTCCGATCTGATCAAGTTGGATTATCCAGTATTTAAATGTGATTCTTGTATAAACATCACATCAAGTCGGAAATACCAGTACTTAGGTCTGATTCTTATATATTCCTGTAAACATCTGATCAAGTCGGAATACCAGTACTTAGGTCTGACTTAAATGAAAAAGTGAATATTTGTGTCAATCTCTCTTTCTACTTTCATGATTCATAAGTTTTCCACTTCATATAACTGTGATCAGGGGGAAAATGGTGCAATTTCAATAAATTCACTCACTGTTAATTTTTTTAATATTTGTGTTTAACAAAAATATTGCTTTGGCAAATTTCAACAGCTCTACAAGTTTTTGCTCAATCTTTGAATCAGTTTTGTTTAATTTTAAATAAAGGATGGTAAAAAGCTTCCAACACACACACACACACACACACACACATACATACATACATACATACACACACACACATATATATATATATATATATATATATATATATATATATATATATATATATATATATATATATATATATATATATAAACAAATCTTGACTCATTCAAAGTAACAAAGAAAAGAGTGAAGTCAATAAGCTTTGTAAATTGTAACAAAAATAATGTGTTTCCCTACAAAACAGTAAAAAAATACGTTAAAAGGACTTAAAGTTTGTGAATATAATCCCAAATTAATCCCAGTATTGAAACACACAAGTCCTATTACTAAAATATTTTAAATAAAGACAAGTTCGAATCGCGGTGAAATTCAAAGATGGCGGAAGATGAATATACAGGTCTTAGCGCTCTGAATAATTTCCACTGAATGTCTCTATTCTAAGCTTTGATGACGAAGCACTTATTTTCCAGAAAATATAAATTATTGTTAAGTAACAAATAACTCCGAATTGGCACAAGAACAGAAACTATTTATGATCTCCTGAAGGTACTTTACGACTAAATTACAAAAGCAGTGATATTGAATATTGAACCCCTCTTATACGTCATTTCGACTTATGATAGGTCGCATAATCACTATACACAAGGCACT